CATGGCTCCCTACCCTAAGTATGATTATTCGTAATTAAGAGATAAAAATAAATAAAACTCGTGTATCTTCGTTATTTTTTTTACTTTCTTAAAATTAAATTAATATTTAATAATTAATGTGATGAATGAGCCTGCAAATCACTGCATATTTTCTCAAATTAAAGCTTTTACAATATTTCGCGGCACAGTTTGGGGATCACTGGCTTAAAGGGTTTCCAAACTCGTCTGATTCTTTTGCTAAGTAACTAAAGTGAGTTCAGTGTCTATCTTTTAAAACTAATTATTCCTTAACTTATATTTGGGCTAATTTCCCATTTTCCAGATTATATTGTCTACGGCGCTCCTTTCACCGTTGGCATGGTACTGCTAATCTCGCACTAGAGAAGCGTTATTTGGCCCGACTTTCTTGGCTTCATTATCTCACATCAACTCGACTGCGTATCTTCCGAGCATGGAAGGCGCAACTTCAGACCGTTCGAGCTACTCGCAAATCTGAGCTCATCTCTAATCGACATTATGCTCTTGCACTGTATCGCCGTGTTTTTGTTGCCTGGCTCGCAGAGGGCTCGGCTTCTAGAGAACGCTTGATGGCTGCAGAACAAATATCTGTAGGTTTACAGCAGAAATCTTCAAAAGAATTAGATTCTTCATAATCTCATTACATTCTCTTAAATCTGTAAATTAGCATAGCTGGGATATATGCGAAGAGAAGGTTGATTGATAACTATCACCTTGCAAATTGGGTATTTAAGCACAATCGTTATTTCTTTTCTCTCCAGAAAAGCCAGTCTAGTTGGAGAAATACTCGTTGAATTTATGATATCATAAAACCGAATGTGGATGTCTTGTTAAAGCAGTCTCTCGTGTCCTTTTACGTCAACTATTAATTCGACAGTATGAAGACAAAGATGGTGTGGCCTTTTGTGTGGTCGCAGTCTCCTTTCGTTGTATAGAGGTTGTTTGACCTTGTTTTCTAAACAGTAGGAAGACTTAAAAGAACTCAACTAGTCCGGAGTCCATTATATGCATGATAATTTCAAAACTCGGACTGTGGATGTGATAGATTCCCAGACGATTCGCTGGAATTGTCAGTGAGTCTCGCCATTCTTATCACCACTCAACAACTCGTCGAAAGAGACAAGTGAAGCTGATCATTTGACCAAACGTGTGCTAAACAGTTGTGGTATCTCCCTTTCTGCCCTGGGCTATTTACATTTCTTAATATCCTCCTATTACATGATCCAGAACATTGGGTTGGTGGGGTCGGAACTGTTGATGAGTTTCGATGTACAATCCATGTACAGAAACATCTCAAGTAAGGAAGGCAGTAAGCGCTTTGCTGGAGATATTGGAGCGAGAAGAGGACAACCTAGAGGCAGAACGGATACGGAAAGAATCGTTAACACGACTGATCAACCTGACAGTAAGGACCACATAT